AATATAAACTAATCTTATATAAGGGGAAAAGTTTAATAGTTGCTAGAGCAATCTATCAGGCTGAAATACTCCCCACAAACTTATAGAAAAATTGGAAATTTCAAAATAAAAACTGGCTGCGTCTCATTCCTGCTAAAAGTACACCGGATCTGTTAATTAGCGCGAAAATTAAAAATGAATGGATCAAGGTGACATTCTTAATAACTACTATACAGATAGATCACCTTTTAAAAACAATAAATAATAACTAAGCCTGGTATCATGTACAATAACTATAATGGAAAGATAGTCCTTCGTTCGCAATAGAACCTTATTTGTTCTGAAAATATTTTCATACGAAATATACAATGAAGTTTGCAAAGAAGGTCAAAACTGAGCGAAGAACAGGTGTAGAGGTGGGACAACTAAAATAAAAATTAACAAGTTAAAATGGGGGTGGGTTGGCTCAGTGGTTAGAGTCATGACTCTGAAATCGGAAGGTCTCAGGATCGAATCCCACCGATGGCAGGAATTTTTATTTAATTAAAAAAAAATTAAATATTAATTCTAATGCATAGGTAGGATTCCCCACTCGACCATTCACTGTTGGGTTCTAGTTAACAGTGCTGTTCCTAAAGTGGCGCTGGGAAACAGTAACAAAGCCTACACAGAACACGAGGCTAATGGCCGTAGTAGTCGACGCCGATGACACCAAATTAAAAAAAAAACAAGTTAAAATGAAACAATCAAGAAAATAGGATTTAAATACTTTCGAAAATGGAACGATAAATTTGACACGTTACATGTGTCGTTTACAATTTCAATCATTCTCTTCTTGCACATCTTCTCATTCACAAATTTTGCTGAAGTTTTTTCCTATTTAGACCAACTAGACTGGATTTATATTATTCCTGAAAATAATGATCCGAACTGCAAGTGGAATATCTTTCAAAATACGGTTAAAGTCTCATATTAACAACAAAATAAATAGTAGAAAAAATCTGAAACCTTGGATAAATAATCAACTGCTGTCTATGGTAAAACATAAGAAACACCTATGGAAAAAATTTAAGCGAACCACCAACACACCACTTCCGGTTATTTCACTAAACAGAATATAGGCCTTTATTTCCCTACGTATCGTTTGACTCAGACATAATAAAAGACAAACTTAAAATGCTTAAGTCCAATTCCTCGTCAGGCTTAGATGGTATCTCCTCTTTTCTTTTAAAATCTTGTGCTGACACTCTCTGTTATCCCATTTCCTGTATAATGACCTCCTCCTTTAATTCTCACATCCTGCCATCTATATGGAAGACTGCGTCAATGACTGCCATATTCAAAAAGGGCAATAAGCTTGACCCAAATAACTATAAACCGATAAGCCTTGTACCAATAGTTTGTAAAGTAATGGAGTCCATAATATGTGATAAGGTAACTGACTTTCTCGTAAAGGAACATGTACTTCCCACCCAACAACATGGATTTATCAGAGGACGATCTACCTTAACTAATCTCCTGCAGTCTGTCAATGACTGGAGAAAAGCCTTAGATGCTGGTCCTCCTACAGATGTTATATACCTTGATTTTTCTAAAGCCTTTGATAGAGTTTCAAAGCACTGACTTCTCAAAAAGATTGAACACCTGGGAAACCGAGGCAACTTAATAGATTTGCTAACGGATTTCTTAACCTTCGGACAATTTCGCGTTAGAGTTGGTAATAGTTTCTCTCAAACCAAATCCGTTGTCAGTGGCGTGCCTCAAGGATCACTCCTTAGTCTCCGTTATACTGCCGATATCTCTGCACATAAAAAGCTGTTGCTTCTACGCGACGATACAAAAATTTACGCTAATCCGATTGCGGACTATCAGTTTCTTCAATCTGATCTAAGTACGGTATCAACGTGGAATTCAGACTGGTTATTACCGCTAAACGTTGATAAATGTGTTGTTTTTCATATCGGTAAAAACAATCCTAAATTGGCGTATAATATTAATAATAATGCCTTAAAGACAGTATCATCCCAAAATGATCTCGGCGTTATCATTACTAAAGACTTAACGTGGTGAGAGCATACATTATCAGTAAGCAAACAATCAAACTCTCAACTATTCTTATTAAAAAAGAATTTTGGCAATGTTTCTCCCTCAACATTTTTTAAAATATACACAAAATATGTTCGTCCTCGCCTGTAGTACTGTGGTCAAAAGAGGTTGGAAAATGTGCAGCAACTTGTGACAAGGCTTCCGTATGGTATAAGAAGGCCACCATATGAACAGCGTCTGTCTACGGCTAATTTGACTCTTTTTAGTAAGCGTCGACTGCGTGGTGATTTAATCGTTTGTTTTCGCGCAATTATGCATATGTTCGGTGTCGATATTTCGGATTTATTTGTATTAAATAATGACCTGCGCCTTCGTGGGCACAAGTACTTTATTTTAATAATATTTTTTCTTTCTAAACTTTAAATTCAATAACCACATAACAAATAGTTGATTGATGAAAATGTTTTACATAATAAACTGAACACAAAACATGCTGGTTTAAAAAAAATATATATCATTTGTTTCAATGTTAAATTTGCGACTATTTATACGATGCTGATTTGTCCATCGATAACTATATATAAATCATTTATTTAGTCGAAAAAAAAAAGAAACTATTTTTTATGTCAATACATCTTCACATTTAAAATGAAAATAAAATTACATAAGTATAGAATCAACATTCATTTAAAATTCAATAAAAATACATAAGTCTACAGTACACGTACATGTCAACTATACAGAACATAAAAGAAAAACAAAAAAAAAACATCAAATGGTCAGCAAGTACTCACGTTCTTTTAAATTATGTTGCAAATTATTAAAAGCGTTTACACCTTTATGTGTACATTTTTTTGTGGAATTTTTTTCTTATTTCGTGTATTGTGTTTATGAACATCTTGATTATAACGTAAAATATTTTGTTGATATACTTCTTCTTGATTTAATCTTAAATATAAATAGCAGTCAATTGAACAGCAAATATTTTTTAACAAACAACCACTGAAGCACATTTGATATGGAATTGATTGATTCTAATCTTGAACAGCTTAGTATTATCCTCATATACCTCTATCCTGCAACTTTTGCAATCATTGCAACTCATTCTGGTTGAGCAAATACAATATAGTGACACAATAATTAAATTGAGGTAATGTTAGAGTATTATAAATTATTATTTTAGCCCATTTGCTGAGTGGAAAACAACGCCTCAAATAGTTTATTTTAAATTATATACTTTTGATGACGTTATTAGCACGTTCCTTAAATTGCAAATTAAGAGATATTTAAATTTTTCAACTCTCTGAAACTTAATTCCATTAACATAAACACACGCGATGCTACATTTAGTTTTTTTTTTTTTTAATTTCCAGTACATTCAATTGGATTCGGGAACAACACATCAACTATTTGGGAAGCACCCCAAAACAGGCACATGGAAAAGCCTTCATAGGCAGACCATGTTCCAAAAGAACTGGAGAACTACTCTTAATGAATAGGAACCAGTTGAAAGTGATAATAGGGTTCATGACTGGGCACGCCCCAGTAAAGGGACACTTGAACAAAATTGGCATGTATAATGGGGAACTCATGTGCCGACTATGTCACAAGAAACCAGAAATGGCCAAACACATACTGTGCGAATGCGAAGCTCTAGATCGCAAAACACAGGCTCTTTTTGGACAACCCCAGGTTGATCCAACAACGTATAGAACCCACTCACCCAAGGACCTGTACAAACTTGTACAAGGTACAAAGGTGACAGAGTGGGTGCTATGAACTAACATGGGGTAAAACACAATAAGCCAATAGGCTTCAGTGTTATTCGGAGACACATAGTCAGACGAGCCCAGGAGAAAGAAAAAAAAACCTTCAATTAACATCCACTTTGTCTTTTTGTAATTTATTTTCAACGAGTTTCCGTTACAATAATCAGTAGTAATACTATAAGTACTTCAAAATAATCAGGTTATACATCGAACTTGTTGCATAATTATAAAGGGTGTCAGTTTGACAGTTTAAATAATCCGACCGCGAAGCGGGAGGATTATTCTGTCAAACTGACACGATTTGTAATTATGCAGGAAGTTTGAGATGTATAACCGTATTTATTTTGAAGTACGTATTGTATTTGATACGATTATTTTTTAAGTAAATTAAGTAAATATCAACAATTTACATTTAATGATACATCTCCGAATCGACTCATTTTAAAATAATTATTGATAAACGTCAAAATTTGACGGTCCTGTTAGTTAGTGTATTGTTGTCGATGTGGTTACTACGGAAATGAAATTATTGTAAATATTTTTGATTGGTGGAGCTACTCTATGTATAATCAGGTATTATCGAAATTATACGAGGTAACTTAACTAAATTGAACGTTCTAATTGGTTAAAAGTTATACGAAAAAAATAATCAATAATATATTTTACTTATAGAACTAATAATTTCTTTAAAACAAGTTTCAGTGTTTTCATGGGTAAAATCAGTGTATCATCTGCAAATACGTGTATTGAGCATCTTTCGACTACACCAGCAATGTTATTAATATAAATTAAAAATAGTAGCGGATCCAGAACACTACTCTGTGGCACCCCCATATTATTCTCTATAGTGTCCGAAACATAATTACTTACCTTAACCTTATGTTTCCTATTTTCCAAATAATGACCCAACCAGTCCAGTGCACAACCCCCCAAACCAATAGCTCTTAATTTCATTAATAATCTGTCCCTATTAATAGTCTCAAATGCCCTCTGTAAATCTAAAAACACCGCCTGTGTAACCAACTTCGAGTCATGCAACACCAACTAAATAAACTATTATTTGTCTATATATTTTTTAATCTTTTAGTTGTCTGTATTCTAATTTAAATCTTATTTTTTTTTGTGTAACGATGGTAAAATATTTTAAATGTTTTCGATAATCCAATAAAGCATATTTATTTATTTAATGTGACATTTAAATTTTAGAAACTGTACCACCACTAACGCATCCCCCTTTCGGAGGTCCTGGAATCATCCCCGGTACCGAGGGATTAGCCGAAGCGATCCATCTTTTGTCATGTCGACCGGCGCGATGTTCGATACCGCAAACGGCGGCGCCGCATTACGTGTCCCATTGGGCCGAGACCCATGAAGAAAGGATGCATAGAAGGATGATGTATCCTGGACCAGCCTCGCAAAGGTATAAAACATACGTAGTCGATAATGTTCATTTTTTGTATTGCTCACGTTGGGCGGCAACGGAATTTATCCCGATTAAAAATAAATTTCCATGGAAAAATTATACTTCTAAATGTTTTTCAGTAAAATATGGGACAGATTAGAAAACTTTCATTGATTTTTCACAAGATCAGGAGAAGTTTGTAGAATAGATCTGTACCGCATGAATCAATGGTAAGTATACCAAAAACTTGTCATTAAATGGCAAAGCCACTTCTCCAGTACACTGGTCAGATCGTTAGAGCCCTTAAACATATAACAGCAAAGTTACTTTCTGTTAGTTAAATAATGTTACCAACTTAGCAGTGTTGCCAACTACATAATTGCGACCAACGCCCATGTGAAGGCCACATCGATCAAACAGCCGTGCCATCTGTCTTTATTGTTGCCAATTGTCACGGTTATGATAAAATACATTTTGTAGTTGGCAACACTGCTAAGTTGGCAACACTGCGTTACTAGCAGGAAGTAACCACTATGTTATTTGTAGGCGTTGCCATTTAATGACTAGTTTCTGGCGAATTATTGGACATACCATTGATTCATACGATGTGATGTTGCTAGATCTATTTTACAAATTTCACCAGATCTGGGGAAAAATCAATAAAAATGTGCCAACTTGTCCCGTCTTTTACTGTTTTTGTTTCATTCAACAGTTTCCTCTATCTCTTAATTCAACTTTCCAATTAACCATCTTGGATTATTATTCGTTTTTATTTTTATTTTTTCGCAATATAATCCCATGAATTCAATTCTATGCTACTACGTTTTCTGTTATGCTTCTAATGCTATTTTTGATTGTTGTTGTAGGGGAAACTGGCAATCTGTTGATGTACCTCACTCTAGTGGTATGTCGGTGACGGAACATTGCGACATATTTCCTTCTGGTTTACCATTGACGTCTCGTAAGAGCAGCTCGTCGACTGATTCTTCGTCTTGTTTATCCATTCATAGTCGATCTACTACTAGTTCATCAGAAAGAGGGTCTGCAAGCGAAGCCAGTGGAATTGTAAGTCTGATTAACTTTCTACAGTGGGCAAACTTTGTACATTTCAAAACAAAAAAATCTGATCAGCTCTTTTATGATTTGATAAACATGTATTTCGACAGATTTTGAATAATTTTTATTATTTATGTAGTAATTTGGTAGCTCAATTTTATATTATAGGCAAAATTGAATAAAAAATATTTTAAACCTAAATATTTTAAATATAAATTCCCTATTTATAGTCTAGAAAAGAAAGGAGTGCAGTAATTTAATTTGAAAAACGTAGTACAGGTTCAGGAGGTAGACATTTTATCTATACCTCATCCTTCAATGGTTATTTATAGTTACAATGATAATTTTAATGCATCTGATTGGCCTAATAAAAGTTTTCGTTTATATTTAATCATGTTTCCGTGGCTTTTTTACTGTAATAAACCTTTTCTGTTGACAGATAAGTCAGACTTACATTTATTCATAGCCATATCGTATGTATTTTAATTGATTCGAAAATTTGTATTAGTATATATTACAGTTATATAAGAATGGTGAGTGCATTAGAAAATATTTACTTATTTATTTGTTTACAGTACGCTACAGATACATAAAGTTCTAAATGGTACATTTAAAATATCAATTAAAATAAAAATAAAAAAAGAAATTAATAAAATTGTCACAGTATAAAAATGAAGTTAATAGTGTAATGAAAGTTGACGCTTTTAAGAAAACAAACCTGTATTAAAAATATCATAATTTGAAAAATACTTATTGTAATTGGACATCAGTCAGTCTACAAATAAATTCTGTCCATAGTTAGTTCTATGAGTATTTACATAAAATAGTTTAATCTGTCTAGTAAGTCTGGCAGGAACAAGGAATCTAATAAAATGTACTAGGCTGTCACTATCAATCAAACCGTTCAATAACTTATACAGGAAAACAAGCGATGCTTCTCGACATCTGCATTCCAAACTCTTAAGTCCGCACAACAGAATTCTGGTTTGGTAATCTATATTTTGCGATGGAAGCCTATGTTTATATAGTAGATACTTCGAAAATTTATTTTGGACTCTTTCTAATTTATCAATATGACAATTGTAGTTAGATGCCCAAATCACTGAGCAGTATTCTAAAATGCTTCTAACTAAGCAGTTGTAGAGACTCTTCAGAGCTGCCGTGTCATAAATGTGCTTGGTGTTCCTTTTGAGAAAGCCCAGCAGTCGAAAAGCTCTATTTACAATTTCTTCCAAATGAATAAGTGATAGGTCCCTGTCAAAAATAACACCAAGATCATTTATAGTTTGCTCAACACTTAGTTCAGAACCTGCAATGACATAATCATGCACAATGATAATAGCTTTACATTTATCAATATTCAGTTTAAGCAAGTTATTGTTGCGCCATTAAACCAAGTTGCTGAGATCTGATATCTGATTGTAAGTGATTGTTTGAAAGGTCATTGACGATTGAAAAAAAATTAGGTCATCTGCATATAGGAGGCAACTGGAGTTATTAAAACAAGTTGTTACATCGTTAATAAAAAGTATGAACAATATAGGGCCTATATGCGAGCCCTGTGGCACACCTGAACGTACCAAAATTTCGCTAGATGTGGAACCACATAAATTCACTCTCTGACGATGTTCAGTTAAATAGGAACGAATAAACTTAAGGTAGTTGCCGATAATACCCATCCTCTTCAATTTATCTAACAGCAATTAATGACAAACGGTGTCGAAAGCTTTTGACATATCAGTGTATCACTTGTTTGCCATCCTCTATTGCATATAAAAGAAACTGCTGATTCTCAGCAAGATTACTAGTTGCTGATCGTCCTTTGAAAAAGCCATGCTATTATGGTGTAATGTAACGCCGAAAAGACATAAATATCTCATCTGTTATTATAGCCTTTATGACTTTAGGAATGCTGAATATAATCGAGATTCCTCGATAGTTTGAAACATTAGATTTGTCGCCGGATTTAAATATTGGCACTAAGTTAGAATATTTCCAACGTTGGCGAAAGAAACCATCATCAAAACATTTTTGGAATAATTGACATAGAGGAGTAGAAAGTGAGGATTGACAATTTTTTAAGAAAATAGGCGGAATTCCACCCGGACCAGGGCCTTTAGAGGCATCTAACTAAAGCGAGTGTTGATCTCTTCTTCAGTGAAAACGCAAGAGGAAAGATTACTAGAGAAATCAATAATGAGGTTAGAAGAGGTAACAACATTGTATTTAATGTAACAGGACAGAAAATGAGAGGCATGCCTCAACTATTTCCTTAGGGTCATAAATTAATTTGCCATTAGATTTCATTTGTTTTGGAATGTTTGATGAGTCTTTACGCAGAGCTCTTATATATGACCAGAAGTGCTTGATATTATTAGGAATAAGGTGTTCCATGCTAGAAGCAAAGGTAAGATAACATAAATCAGTTCGGTACTTTACTTCGCGCCGTGTATTAGAATATAACTGGTAGTCACTACTCAAATCAGAGTGCTTATATTTTTTATATAGTTATTTTTGGAGGCAATACATTTTCGAAGTTCAGTGTCAAACCATTTTGGATATTTAATATTTTTTGGGACAAATTAATTGATGCTTTGAAACAAAATATCATAAAATATTTCAACTCTGTCTTCGATGTTTGGTGCTTTATTGACTGATGTCCTATCCACCTATTTGTAAAAGTTATTACATTTTTTTAAATTAGCGTCTTTGAATATATACACAGTACTATTGCGAGAATTAGATTTTAATGGAACATATTTTAAAAGATCTATGGACAACTCGACAGGAGAGTGAACTTTGTCAAGATTAAACAATGGACTTTCGCTAGGTGAAACGAGAAGGTGATCGAAGTTAGATACGAAGATCATATCGAAAATACGACCAAGATTATTTCTAATAGAATTTATTTGTTCAAGTTCAAGAAAATACATAGACGTAATATGAGTTTCGGCTTTAGCAGAGAGGGTTCTTACAGGAAATACGGAGGCGGTATCCTCATCAGGCGGTAGGTTGTAATCGCCATATATAATTAATCTACAGTCGTCATAGTTGTTATTTAAAGATTCACAACTACTACAAAAAAAATCGGAACTCTCAAAGGTTGAGTTTGAAGGAAAATAAACGCACCCTAAGATGATATCATCATTGAATATTTTGGTCCAAATCCATATATCATCATATAGGTCGTTGGTTGGAGCTGACAGAACTGTTGTATTAATATTATTGGATACGGCAATTAAAACTCCTCCACCACGTTGACAATCTAGCATTGCACAGTTTCTATCGCGACGAAAGATAGCAAACTGATGGACATTAAGAAATTCTGAATTCCGAATACTATTGTTAAGCCAAGTTTCTGTAAGCATGATGACATCATAGTCAATTGAGTAAGAAGCCCTTAATAATTCGTTAGTTTTAGTTCGAAGACCCCTGACATTTTGTAGGTATAGGGTTAGTAGGGTTGTACAATAATGTACAATGAGTAATAGATACGTTTACAGAGCTGACGGTACCGTCGATGTCTTGGGAAAATGGTGATTGGAATCAAGACCGTTAGGAGAAGATGAAAGACATTTTTTATTAATAAAGCTGTGGTATATATGAAACATAAGGTTGTATTTAGCGGAGTAGCTTAGAATACCGTTCGAAAATTCTGAGAGTTGGAATGTTTGCAAGCACAAGTACGCGTAAACGATCTAGTGGATATAAATCATTATCTTTAGAAGGAAAAAATTTACTGTATTTAATAATCTTCCAAAAGACTTTCTGTGGGTGAAATTGCCACTAATTGTGAGATCTGTACTGGAGTATCTAAACGAATAGTGTATAACGTTATTAAAGAAGATACAGTTATTGGAGAAGTATCTCATCTGAAAAAGCCCCCAGGAAGAAACAAGACCTTTATTGAGACTTGGGTAAAGAATGTAATACGACAAATGGTACATTCTTTTTTCTTTAAAAAATTTCACTCACAAATAGAAAATACCCCCATTCTTTCAAATATATCATATTTTCATCTGCAAAAGTGAATTACATTTTTTGACAGAAATCATTTCATGGGGACTTGATTATTTAAGAAAAATAGCGGATGCAAGGAATCATCATCAACAGATATTTTATTTAGATGAAACATGTGTTAATACTGGACATATGTATATAGTAACAAAAATTTAGCAAGATACCTCCATCAAAACTAAAAAACAAGCCTTTATGGAAGGGGTCTCTTGTGGATTAAAAAATCCAACAGGAAAAGGAAATCGTCTAATAACTCACATTGGAAGCAACGAGTCAAAGAAAAAAGATTACCATGAATAAATGTTTAAAAATTGGTTTCAGAACATTATAAAAAATCCAGCCAACTCTGATATTGTTTTGGATAATGCATCCCATCATAGTTGACTAAAGGAGTTAATACCTACAAAAAGACGGAAAATCGAAGATATTTCAAAATGGCTTCATCTTAAAAATGTTATTAGTCCTTCTAAATGCTTAAAGGCAGCATTACTTGTAATGGCAACATAAAAACAAATTCAAAAATATATTATAGACGAGATGGTCTGAGAAAAAGAAATTTAAATTCTCAGATTGCCTCCTTACCATGCAGAGTTAAATCTCATTGAACTGATCTGGTCACAATAAAAAGGTTGTTTCTCGGAACAATATAACATTTAAATTATCTGATCTGCAAAATTTGTTTTTGAAGACAGTTTCAGATGTAAATGGAGAACACTGGAAAAAATGCATTGATCATGTTAAAAAGGTGGAAAATGCATTTTGGAAAGTGAATAGAGCAATGGAAAACTTAATTGTCCCTATAATAATAAGAAAAGACAATCATAATGATACCAGTAGTTATAGTGAAGACAGTGACTTTTATAGATAATTCTTGAATTTTTTATTTTTTTTTAAATCTTTGATTTTAGGTACTGAAGTATGACTTTTAATGCCAAAAGATTAAAAAAAGTTCAATCCCATTAACAACATATAATCATCCTCCCTGTTATTTATTGGTTAAATTTAATTCGTTCAATGTTAAAGTGCAACAATTTTGTCAGAAGCATAAGGTTTATTTTTATTTTTGGTAAATTATATAACTTTTTTCATTCAAAATTTAATCTACAAAGTGCGTATATACCATTTTATATGCAGTGACCTTATTTACATTATATAAACTTCAATTTGACATTATATCCCCACTTTTACTGCCCTCCTCTTTTATTTAGACTATAGATAACAAAATGAAGATCAACCAGTCAATAACAGCAAGAGCAGAACTAACAGAAAATCTGGAAATCAAAGCTATCTGAAGACTTAAAATACTTAGGTTTTTACATAGATAGGGGATTAGGATTCACAAAACATATAAGTGACAGAGTGGATAAAACAAAAAATATGATCAAATTATTATACCCGATGTTAAACACAACAGAAAGGTCATTCAAAAAACAAAACTTTATTATTTAAACAAATCGTCAGTCCAATCCAGATGCCAAGTCTTCTGCGCGATATCAGAAACTAATAATAAAATGCTTCCAGCTACACAAAACAGATGTCTGAGGCTAATTATGGGGTGCGGAAGATACGAACCAACGAAGAAAAACTACTAGACTAATCCATTCATTTCTAATTAAGCCGGTTTTTATTGCAATCATTTGGATTCTGTTTATTATTACGCAGAGCTGCAGTTTTCATCAATATTTACATCTACTACGCTTGTTTTACACTGCTGTCACACTTCAAAATTAATTGTGTACTTCCCCGCTACTATATAACTGTAATAGTTGTGCAACAAGAAAAAGTATTAAACTGAAAATAACTGGCTTTAAGAATGCAAATATACTTCCCTAATGTAATTTTGAAAGCCTTTTGTGCGCTTTAGAACCTTGTGGTTAGTTAATACAGAATTATAACCATAAACAATCCTTGTAACAATATTCTCCCATATTCGCTCATAATAATTTGACAACTACGTGAATGACTTCGTAAATGTTTGCAATTCGACTTTTGTAAACAAAATTAGTCTAGTAGTTTTTCGTCGTCAATATGAACGCATCACAGACTTACATGATAGTACAAATATACTTCTTATAAAGCAATTCATACTAAAACACACCAATAACTTCTATCGACATTGTCTCCCAGAAGGAATAAAGACATATTAACAGCATCACGCCTGAAAACAACGCATATTTGGCTTTACGATACCCTAACAACGTAGAGACGCTAACAAGGACACAAAATAAGTGAAAATAACGCACAGGCTCCTGAACATTGAACAGTTACTATGCAGTTACTAAGTACACTACTTAAATAAGGTCAGAGCCGCCGATTCTGGTCAGCAGGTGGAAGATGCATCAGCACAGGAATTCTTATGTGCGTACTCGACACGATACGTATCGAATAGAAAGAGACATTACATAAGAATCCCAGTCTGTTGAATAAAAGTAAGCGTCTCGATACGTGAAGATCTCCGATCGGATGACTGGCCAATCAGTGCAGCCTGCGAGTAGTGTACATTTCTATGCAATAGACAATAACAGACAACTGTAGACGTTAATGAAAACCCATGTTTTTCTCTCGGTTTTTCAGGGAAATCAAACGATTCATATCTACAACGACGGTTTTAAAACAAAACAAGGATGTGAACTAAATATAATCCAGATCCTTAAACTAAAACATAAAATGGGCTGTGAGCAGTAGTGCCAGTTTAGTTCAAACCGAGCTCAAGAAGATTTTCATAGCAGCAAAAGAAATTACCAGAAATAATATCACTGGAAGAAACATGCTCATCTATACAAATAGCAGACAAGCAATACTAACTCTGGACAGACCACAAATTTATTCAGGGTTAGTACTAGAATGTTATGAAGCTTTGACCAAAATATCCATCAACAATATGGTCAACTTAAGATGGGTTAAAGGTCACGCCACATCGAAAGGTAATCGTCTTGCTGATTCACTTGCCAAGAAAGCAGCTAACCAAATACTTTTTGGACCTGGCCCCTCTATTGGACTAACAACATTGGTAGTGACAAACCTGATTAAAGAACTTTCCCTTGAATTCAAGGAAAGATGGAATGAAACAAGAAGCTGCCTACTTTCCAGGGAGCTTTTAAGGTATCCTGACAATACTACAGCAAACAAATACTTGAATATGACTAGACAGAATCTGTGCCTGATCACAGGCGTTCTGACTGGACATTGCCAACTACGGAAGCATCTCCATATCATGGGGCTGGCAGAATCCACACTGCAGGGGATGCGAACAAGAAGATGTGACCATCGAGCATATCTTCTACGATTGCCCGACGCTCATTTATTAGAAGATTTGTGTTCGGTTAGAATTGGCTAACACCGGCCGATATAAGAGAAGCACCTCTTGGCGACGTTGTCAACTAAATTAAATCTGTAGACTGGCTCACAAGCTAGGAGGTGCCTATCTACTTATGAGGATGCACAATAGGCCTAGTGGGGTCTAAGTGCTGTGTGTTAACCCACCCTCCACACGTTACAGATACAGAACTATACACGTTAATGAAAATTCATGTTTTTTCTCTTGGTTTTTCAGGGAAATCAAACAAAATTAAACTCAGACATAGCACTCAATCAAATTTATTACCGCTCTAACGTACAACAACCAAAACAGATCAATAATACTTATAAGAGCAAGGAGTAAACTTTTGCAAGATCAGCGAATTAATATATGAGAGCGAAAGCTTAACCCAAAAAAAGAAGGATATGACTTGTCAGTGGTTAAGAGCATACATCTTGTATGTCCATTTTTGTCAAAAATGGGGTAGGTAGGATTCTATAACCTTCATGATAAAATCTTTATGATTTCCAAATATAGTATGCCCACTTAAATAAGTTTACCATTCAGTAAAGTAATGCTAATAAAAATTATACAGCTCGTTTTAGTCACCTACAACTTTCAAATCGATTTTACTCAAAACGACATTTTTGGACATAAAACATTTGTGCTCTTAGCCATCGTTGTGTATCTCTGTCTTTGTCTGTCATGGCCTATTTTAGAAACATTTTTTGTGGATTACTCTTTACTAAATATTTGTAAAACAATAAGTTAGGTTAGAAACTGCATAATTGTTTTATATTTTCATTTTATTTCTCAGGAAGCCATTAGACTTCACGCTAATCTGTATTCCATGTGGAGTGGTAGCGAGCATCTTCCTTTTATCAGATTGCCAGAATCGCAAGAACCTCAAGATGACAGCGACACTGATGATCCGCCTACAGAAAAGAGCAGTGGATACTTTCCAAAACCCACTTAGGTATCCATATACAAATTTTACCTATAAAAAATATTCGTTTTATATCGATTTACTTTATTCTTAGACCAATGGTTGAAATTACCTTATTTTCATGTTTGTGTATGTCGATCTAATCGATTCTTAAATCGATTCGTAAATCGAAATTGTTTGTGTAAGCATCGCGCGTTTGCATATCGATTGTAATCAATGTTTGTATGTTTAAAGTTCCATATTCTGATAACGGTTCTGGTCGAAAATTTCTTTTCTTCTACTTTTTTCTTCTACTTTTTTCTTTAATATTTGCTTCTTGTCGCCATCGATATTTTATCAGTGAAGAAAATATTTTTTTTAGCATCCATATATTAAGTTTGTATTCCAATGTTACACCCGGATGCAAGAACGCTTGTTAAATATATCAATAGCTAGAGTCTGCTAGAATAGGGAAGGTACCTTATAAGCTTGCGCATTTGTTATGGCTGCTTGAGATAAGGCAGTTGTGAAAGAACTTTCTACTTGAGTTACGAACTGATTCCCTACAATTCACACCACTGTAATTTAGCGAATCGACACATTACCATGGTAACGATTAACAACAACGCAAATAATTCGCTGGCGCATTGTTTTTGTACATACTCTTCTCGATTCGAGTGGATTCTAAAGATCCTTTAATTTTATTAGATTGTGCGAAATTTGAAGTTCATGTCATTGAGACTGATCACATTCTGAAGGTCTGTAAAAGTTTATTTTGTTTATATATTTTAATTCAAGTTGTTGTAACCGGTTGTTAATTTTTTTTAATTCTCACATTGGGCGCCAACCGAATATGTCAATATACTCTATTCAACTTAAATGCAAGTAACGGGTAAACACAATAGCCCCTTGACCACAGCATGATACGCACAAACCCGGCTGCTATTGGCCAGCACAGTGATCCTGTTTTGGATGTTTCTCTACCCTCTAGCTCAATGTGCTGTTGTCAAGGAGCTATTGTGTTTACGCGTTACTTGCGTTTAAGTTAAATAGAGTTTAATACATTTTCTGTTGAAAAATGTCAGAATATGGAACTTACTTTGAAACTCACAATAATATAAAAGACTTGGAGGTATACTCGTTCTCTGATAGACTGAATTTGTGAATGTATTCTAACCTATATGTCGTTTTTAAAAAATTTTACTCGTCTTTTTTTTAAATAATTTTGAACACACATACTGTTTTCAAGTGTTTGAATTTCTAAAAATTGTGGATTATTTTCTAATTCTATGGTTTATTTTATATTGTGAATTTTCAAGCTATCGATGTTTGTGAAAACATTTTTTTTAGTGTATAACTACATATTCAAAGGCTGTTTCTGTATTATGAGCTATGTGATTGTGGAAAAAATTATATGAATATTTTTAGCCATAAAATAGCAATAATCTCGTATAGCACTTTAAACTGTCATTAAAAATTTCGCGCAAGTCATATATCTATATTAAATCTCTAACTTGAGGAATGTTTGATCTAAAATTGAAATAATCTTGAAATAGTTGAAATCTAAATAGATAGACTCGACTTTACGAATGTAGTAATTGTATTTAACATCATTTGATATCGTGATCGCGGATGAGCGGCTAAATCCGTAGATATTATCTGTCTCAGTGTTGCTAAGTTGTAATTTGATTTGACGGATAACTGATACGACAATGCATGGACAAGACATAACACTATTAACTCTCAATTGTTGATTCTAAATAATACAGGGTGGCGATTTTATAAAGATATTCACATAAAAGTGGCCATTTCTTTAAAAGTACCCATTTCTTTAAAAGTACCCTGTAGAACCTGATAAAACCCTACATTGCCGGAATGGGAAATGAGCAAAATTCAAACACGAGAAAACATAGGGTGTTCCACTAAAAAAACATAACTTTGGTATGCTGGACTCTATATTATGTTGGGAATGGGGTGTTAATACACTGCGACCTAAAAGATCTATTGTGCTCCCTTCTGTCGCTAATGCATCAAGGAAATGTCTCAATGCCTATAACGACCCTTTCAATCCTATTTTCTCAAGGAAATGTAGGATTTGAAGTGGTTTCAAGTTAGGTAAATCTCCCTCTTCTATTTGATATGCTCCTAGATATAGTGCCCTTGGATTCTGGAGTGCTACACATTCAGTTAGGATGTGAATGGGGGTTTTGTCCTCCTCCTCACAGAATCTGCACTCACTATCCTCTGCTACTCTCAGTTTATTTCTGTGTACTTTTAGTTGGAAATGCCCGGTAAGAATCCCTGTTACAATACGTAGCCTGTTCTTGCTCAGGCAGATGAAGGCTTCCGATCTTTTCTGGTTATATTCACCCAGAAGTATCTTGGACTGTCTCAGCCCCAAGAGATTGTTCCAATTATCGGTTCTTCTACTGCCCAATTCTTTTTTAATCTCCTAATATTATGTTACTGCAGATATCGCAGAACGGCTCAGGTCATACAAAGGGTGTTTGAGCCCCTTTCCTTACAAGACTATCTCGTTACTCTGTACCCCGTTATGTCCCGGGACCCAAGTGAGAGTAACTCTATTTTTCTCGCCTAGCTCATTCAATTGTTCTAGGCAGTCCCACTTCACGGCACCATCTTTGCTATGTCGTCGGCATAACCTTGACAGGGTATGCCGAGGTCAGTAAACCTGCATAGAAGTTCGTCTATGGTTAGGCTCCACATTAGTGGGGATAGAACTCCTCCTTGTGCAGATGGAGATGGTGTCCTGCCCTATGCGTGTCTCTGCAGTTCTCGTAGATAACAGCTGAGCCATCCATCTGGATGTGATGTTATCTACTCCTCTGTATGCAAGTGCTTTTTTTTACAGATTCGTGTGGCGTGTTGTTAAAAGCGCCTTCTATGCTTGTCAGTGCATCCTGGATTACGTCAGTCAACTGTACCAGGGCAGTTTCTGTAGATCTTCCTGCTCGGCACCCTCGGCACCCACCTTCCGTTCTGATATAATTATCAACAGCCTTCTCCATTGTTTTTAATACAAAGGATGTGAGGCTGATTGGTCAGAAGGATTTAGGTTGTGTGGTATCCTTTTTCCCTACTTTTGGAATAAAGGTGACTCTGGCCCTTCTCCATGCTTCTGGTATATATCCCAGCACCAGACTGCTCCGGTATAGCCGGATTATGTGTGGTAGTAATTCCTCCTGTGCCTGCTGGAGCAGGGTAGGAAATATTCCGTCCACACCTGGAGACTTAAACGGTTCAAAAGTGTTTACGGCCCATTTTAACCGATTTCTGCTGCAAATGTGTTTGGCCACCACAGCGGCCTCTCTTGGGGGCCTGCTTACCTTAGTTGTGTGCTTCCAGGAAAGTGAGTTTCGAGTAAGAGGCGAGCTCTTTCCTTTTCACTCTCCGTGAATCTTCCATTTGGTTGTATCAACTCTCCCTTTTGCCAGAGCCCTGTGCAGTCTCGCTGCCGCAGCTGTAGAGTTAATATCCTCGCAGAATTTTCTGAAGCTGTTACGTTTAGCTTTTCTGATTTCTTTGTTGTAGGTAGTAAGTGCCTCGGTGTAGCTCTGATAATAATCCGCTGTGCTTGGCCCTATTATAGAGCTTCCCCACTTCGGATCGTAAGTTTGACAGATGACGGTTCCACCAAGGAGCATCCCTACTAGTTCTATTTCTTTGAATGGGGTAGCTTGATTCATATGCCTCAAGTATTGCCCCATTTAGTTCTTCAAGTTCGCTTTCCAGTGCAAGTGGGTACCTGGGTCCCTTTTTTGTCTGGATACGTGCTAAATTTCGTTTTAGAATGGTGTTGTATTTGTCCCAGTCTGTTTTTTAGGATTCCTCCTGTGGATCGTCTCAAAAATGTCGCTTTCTAATGTAAACACAATTATCTTGTGATCAGATAGAGATGGTTCACTCGATACTCTCCAGTTTGTAACTAGATCTTTAATGCTCGGTGTGCTTAATGTGATGTCTAATACCTCACTTCTTGCCCTTGTTACAAATGTTGGAGTATTCCCAATATTTTGTACAATAAGATTCTTATTAAAAATATATTCTAAAAGTTGCTCACCTCTGTGATTGGTGTCGTTGCTTCCCCATACGGTGCTGTGCGCGTTGGCGTCGTATCCAAGAAGTAATGGCAGATGTCTTCTCTGACAGTACTCCACTAGCCTCGATACTTCCGGGGGTGGTACAGGCCCATCTCCGGCAAAGTAACTAGAAGCTATTACTATGTCTTGCCGCCTCATTCCTATTTCCAGGTATGCTCGAATTGGAACGAGATCACGCGTCATGAATTCTGAAAGACAAGAATATTTAATATTATTTCTTACCATTATGCATGTTCTGGATACTTCATCACTAGTGTGATAAATGACCCTTGCATCCTTATATGCAAGTCCTCTTACCTGGGTTTCGTAGACCCACGGTTCCTGGATCAGTACGATCCCTAATTGATTTTTAGTGAATGTCCTGGAAATCACAGCTGGGGCTCCCTTGGCGTGATGCACATTCACTTGGGCGATGTCGATGCCCGCCATTTTACTCTCCTTCAATGGGGGTGTTGTCCCCATCAGTGAGGGTGTGTTCCATATCCTCCTCTTCTACTTCTTCATCAATTTCTACATCCTCAGATGAGACTCTACGCAGAGATTTGAGAGGTTAAGCTCTCTATGCTCTCCACATCAGTCTCATCTTGAAGTACTAGGAGTTGGTTCTGTTTCTTCTTCCAGTTCCTTTATTTCTTCTTTCTTTTAAAGGCCGTGTACGGGGGGCTTTTCCCGAATCGATAGTGGATAGTGCATCCATTATCCTTGATCCTTTGGCAGGATAGGTCATCTATTCCTAACCTAAGGATCTGGCCTTTGCTCTCGTCTTTTTGGCTGACGATTTTCCACAGTGTTGTCGATAGCCCCACATTCTGTGCTTCTATAATCTATAGAAGCTTCTCTACAGGCTGCCCTTGACTTCTTGGGAGAAAGAGCGTGGCTGTATGTGCTTTCGGGGTGTCTCTTGCACGTACCTCCAACCCCGCCACTCCCTTCCAGTTGCTCAGGTGTGGGATTTTTGTCCTGAGCCATTCTGCTGACTGGGGTTTCACAAGTCG